GGGGGGGGGGGGTCCTCCCAGCCCTCTGCCCTTTCTTGTACCTCTTACGGGTCTATCCAAAAGACAAAACATGTTCAAGAGACAAGGTCGATCCTTTGGGTCTTACATGCAGCACAGATTTCCTATTAGCTGATTTTGTGGCCTTCCTCTCGATGCCCACCTAATCTCTCCTGCACTCCAAGATGCTTCTTTTTCTTTCTATCTGATGCACTAAAATGTCTGATGGTAGTCTTAGGACTGATCATAAATATTGTGGCTCTCTCTCCTCTGGGTCCAGTTGGACTACATTTCCAGCTCACTCAGGTCAAGAGTGACCAGCTGACTTCCTTTGGCCGATGAAATGTGAGAAATGAGTCGTGCCCCTTCTGAGCAGAAGCGTTAAGACTCAGCCTGTGATGTGTCGCGGCGTCATCCTGCGGCAATGGCTTTGGAAGCGTGTTTTGGTGAAGCCTCTGTTAGCTTGAGCTCCTAGGGGACTATAAGAACACAGCCCATGCCACCCCCACTGGACATGTAGTGAGAACAACAGAGAACAACAATACACTGGTGCTGTGTTAAGCCACTAGGTTTGGGATACTTTATTATCATGGTGTAACCTGGTCTGTCGTGGCTGAGAGACTTTCCAAAACTGTGGAACGCATTTTTACCTGAGCTGCCGCATTGCCTCGAGTAGCTTCATGCTTCAGCCACATGAAGACGTCTCCATCTTCTTTGGTTTGTACCTTGAGAATTTCATCATCTTTTAGTCTAATTGTCTCAACGTATGCCTAAAAGGGAAGGAACGAAGAAAAGAAGGAGAGAAGGAAGGGAGGGAGGGAGGAAAGGAGGGGAGAAGGGAGAATGAAAATATCCAAATGATATGGGCATGCAAAAGACATGACATTATTCTTAACGCAGCAACTGCTCAAGTGAAGACTATATGAATAATTGAAATATAAGGTGTGTCCACAGAGCCATGAGATCAAATTCTTTTTTAAATGAATGGATCACACGTGCTATATCTAAATGGGTATTTTTGTTCCTATCAAAGTGTTTTCCTTGGGAGGACAAAATTTATTCCACTTCCTCTTCCATCGCTCAAGCTAGTTCAGAAGCCCACCTCTGTGCTGCTGCAGAGCCAGAATACACGGCATCCAAAAAAAGTAAATCAATATTTTCTAAGTATAACCTTATTATTTTTTTATTCCAAAGTGTCATTATCCTGCATGACTCAACCCTATTTATTTAGCAGGCTCAGCCTCCGATATCTTTCGGCTATTTCAAAATGAAATCTACACTGAAAAGAAGAGGGTATATTAACTCTGAGGATGTGAACAAGAATGTGCCAGAGGCTCTAAAGAGGAACCCAAGGGAAAGTTCACAAAATGTTTTGAATTTGCACACAGCCTCCCAGGTATCTGCCTCCTTTGAAGAAAATAAGACTCATTTTTATGTATAAATTTTGGCTGTTTATCCAAAAACTGGCCTTGTTGTTTGACAGTCTCCCCTTCTATATGATGAACGCTATCTAACAGTACCAGGAGCGCCTGGCAAGGGCTTCAAGGCCACAAGCAGACGGTGAAAAAAATGGATCTGGATGCGTTTGGGAAGAAGCCTTAGAGAACAAGGAGCCAGGCCTGATTTCCCTTCTGACCCTTTCTGTTTGTCAGTGAAGAAAATGACTTAGATTCACGAGCACTAGCCTGTAGCCCATTCCTGAGAGGGTCACCCAGCTACGGCCATGTGGAGCCAAAGGTCCCTCTCAGGGGCAATAGCGGGCAGACTTGGGGACAGAGCTAGGAACCCAGTGGTATCAATTCC